AAGCCATACTATTATCAGCAACAGAGACCATGGACACCTGTTGTAGAGCCTCGATGTCCTGGGATGGAAGTTCTTCAAGCTTTTGTTTGGCGTATGTTGGATCTGTTTCTTGTATGGAGGTTCTTATGTCATTCTGTATGGGTTGAGCAGGTGAAGAGTATGTAGGCAAAGGTACGGATAAAACACTGTGAGGCTGTGTCTGTTGGTGGGACACACTGGTATGCGCTTTACCTGCCACTGAGTCTTGTATGTGGCCATAATCCACCAAAGAATTAGACGTAGGAAGACTTTGCACACATGTGGATTGGAACACGGTATCGAGGGATTGTCCCGTGTTGTAACTTTGAGAATGTGTTGCTGAAGCTTGCTTCTGCGGCTGAGAGGTAAACGTCAGATTTGGGGGCCCCTGAGAGTGGGCACTGGAGAAGCTGTCGGAGAAATTTTCTTGACAGAATCTCTGAACCTGGGCTCCGTACTGGATCTGCTCTTGGTTCAGCCCAGGAGTGGTTGTATAAATAAGAGCTTGGCTAACGGGAGCCACGTTGTCACAGTGACTCGAGTGTGATGGCAAAGCAGTGTAAAGTGAGGACAGTTTCTCTGAGGGGGAATGAGGGGTCTGTGACTGTGTTTGTGGACTCATGTAACTTTGAGGCAAACTATCTGACATTAGGCCAGACAGCTGGACCACTTGTTGATTAGCAATGACAGAGTTCTGCTTCTCAGTAGGAGAAGAATAACGCTCCGGGGATCCTGTTCTCAAGTTCTGAGTGTGATTCTCTTCATCTCCAGCAGAATGTGAATTCAGTCGGGAAGAAGCGTCTTTATTTTTCAGCAAAGAAGTGGATGAGTACGGCTGTGTCCCACAATCGCTTTTAGATTGAGGAGATCCATTGACTCCTTGAGTGGAGTCTGTTCTTGAAGACGGACTGCAGGACACTGGTGTGTGACGAGACGGTTCCTGCTGGTAAGACATATCCGTTTCACTGCTAGAGCCAAAATACCCCTGCAGGGAGTCCTCTGAATTGTGCATGTGCTCTGAGGGCATGTGGCTACTTGAAGGCCTCTGGTGGTGCTTTATTACACTACATTCACGCTGAAGAGCTCTTTCAATAGAGCCAGAGAAAATCGTGGCCCCATAGGACTGTGAGGCACCATGAGTGGTTGGCAGAGCAGAAGGAAGAAGACCAAACTGGGGCTGTAATAGGTGGGGGGCTGACTCCTGGGCTGAGCGGTAAGTGGAGGACTGCACAGGCAGAGCTGAGCCCAGAGAGGGTGTAGAAAGGTGATTGAAGGTCAGGGCAGTGGGAATCACAGCTTGGCTGGTTTTAAGGTTAAGCAAGGGGTCGTGGTGAGGAAACAGCCCATTGGTGGAAGTGCTGAAGGCAGGATCTGGAAGCGTAAGGGATGTGTTGGCAGCATAGCTCCTGGGTGGGTAGGCATCTGTGTGCTGAAAGGAGGACAGAGGAGCAGGAGAGGGGAAACTGGCTGTGGAAGGCAGAGCACCAGTCAGATACAGCTCTGTGGTGGAAGAGTTGGCACCTACAAAGAAGAAATCAAAGTTTGTAACAAGCCCAGCATGCACAAAGAAAAGGGACACATTTGCATCATTTGTGAGCTTACAAAAACGAACGACTTCAAAAACCATCAAGCAGATTAGGTCTGTTTGTACACAAACTCCATTTTCTGTTCTTACCAGTAGTCCAAGATGGTGGTCTAAAAGGAGGAAGCAAAGAGGCACTAACAGGACCAGTTTGAAGACTTCTTGACTCCATGGCTGACAGGAAGCTCATGATTGAGGTTGCAGAATTATTCCCACTTGACTCAAGTGTGCCTAACAGTCAAAATGAAGAAAAATTCAATTTAAATTAAAATCATCTTCAAAGATTGAGGCCTTCAATAATGTTAGGCATTTAGCTGACTGGTCCCACTGAACAAAACTTGCAGTGTCTAAAACTCACGTGCAGCTGCTGGGATGTGTGCTGTAGTGTAAGTGGGGAGCTGCTGCGTTGTAGTGTAGCTTTGCTGTTGAAGAAGCTCCCCATCGAGGTTTGGTGCAACATAATTGGGACTGTGTGCACAAAACAAAAAAAAAATTTAATTTGTCCAATTGCTTTTATTTTTCAGAAGCATCATCGAGTCACCCTGGGAAAGCTGAGCAGGCAGAGAATTCAAAAATTCCACTGGCCAAACTATAACAATGAATTTTTAAGAAAGTTTTAAGTCAGGAGCGTGAAAGGCTTGATTAATTTAGTCCTGAAGTTTTATTTATATTTCAAAAGACCAAATTATCTCTTCAGACTGAAGTCATGTTTTGCCGTAGACTGCAAATGACACATTTCTCTAACTAAGGTATGTTTAGAATCACCTAATTATTGTAGGACACAAGCCACTGAAGGCTTTAGATATCTATCTAAACCTATAGCAGATAAATTACTGTTTCTCTATTTACTCTCAAATAAATATTTAAGTTTCAGAATATGAGTTTCAGAACAAAGATGAGCCCCATTGGAAAAATACTGAGATTTTAGGAAAACATGCAAAAGTCTTTGCTTTCTTCAAAGTGAGTTAAACATTTTATCTACAACTTGTCTCTGTTGACAAATAATTGAAACCAGTTACTGAATATCCTTACTATAGCTAAGCCAATAGTAAACACAAAGCAATAAATCTTGTGCATTATTGGTTTCTCTCAACTAGTTTATTTTGTCTACAGAGACTTCAAAATTTATTATATTTCTGTTGTCTTGCTTATTTATTTTGGAGTTTTTAAATGTCTTCTTGTTTCAGTTTTAAATGTTCATCAGAATTTAATGTTCATTTATCTCTGTGAATGTGTTCTTGTGCTATTATGCCACTATCATTATATTACTTGAATATGGTCAAAGACATTATCAGTATTGCAAAAACGTCTGGCACAATTTATTGTCCAGCAAAATTTGTTATTGTGACAGGCTTAACTATAGCTGCAAGATATGACATTATTGGTGTGTTTAGCAGCAGGTTTCCAAAGAATGGAAAGTACTAATTTCAAAAAGTTTTTATCAGTTTGCCAAGAGAAAGAATCTGACTGATCTGAGTTCTTGTATGTTGAGTTTATTTCTAAAACTATCAACCTTTGATTGTCTTTTTTGCTTTTGCAAAAATGACTCTACAAACCTGCTACACAAATAAAAGATTAAAACAAATTTGCATCATCAGTTAGTCAACAGAAACAGTCCTTTATTCTCCAATATAATTGAATCAGCCAGTCAACCAGATTTAAAGTACTGACCTTCAGCCAGAAGGTAAACATCTGTGAATGGAAAGATCCTAAACTAAGGTTATTCTGGCTTTTTGCTGAATTCAATACAAAGTGCCAGAAATCCTGCAGCTGTTTGTTCTTAAAAGAATGCTACATTCTATATAGTAGAAAACTAAATGATATACCTGGCTTCCTGGGGTGTTCAAACTGTTCCTGGGGTATACACTCTTATAATAAGAGTGTTATACTCTTATTATAATTACGTTTACCACATTAATCGTAGTGATAAATTGAAATCAACGAACTACTGAATGTTTTCCTACTGAATGTGAATAACATTTGCTACAAGCCTGATATATTTCTGAAAAAAAAAAAATCAAAGTTGCTTAGAAATAAAAAAAAAGCGCTACAAAATGAACAGATGAGCCATTAATCGCCAAAGTTTGGTCAGAGGACCCTTCAGTGTTTCACTAACTTGTTCTCAATGAATAAGCAGAAACAACAATGGTATGAATCTGCTCAGAGCGACACGAAACACTTTCCAGAACTGTCAGACAGTAACTAGCTCTGGCTGCTAACAGCCCAATTTACTTTGGTTCCAACTATCAGCCACGAGTGGAGGAAATGCCTTAATACAATTAAAGTCATATGCACACCTGGTCAGCTCATCATACAGACACTATAACACTTTATTCTCTAACTAGCTGCAATCCACGGACGTGATAGGAGACTGTTTTGCTAACGTAAATTAGCGAGGGGGGTGGGAGTATCAACAAACGGCTTCAAAATCCCAACAAGTTGGATTCTACAGCTGTGTTTATGTCGCGGAATATATCCACGTATTTCAGCGTCCCTCAGAAGCACAGAAACCTCTGTACTTCTCTCCAAACGCAAAGACTAGGCCCTCCATCACCGATATTTCCTTCGGAAGGTGACCCGCCCTCTCCTTCAACTCCTACCTTGGCTTGATAGCCACTGAGCCGCGCTCATAGGCCCATGAAGCTACGGTCTGTGGTGGCACAGCCAGCGCGTCCGCGAAGCTGGAGCTCGGGTAGTTCCTGTCCATCATCCGGTGAAAGGTTCACTTCCACACAGGAGCCTCGTGAAGCAGCGGGAGCACATCGTAGCAGCCCCGGGTCGTGCCCGCCGGACCCTCGGGGAAAGCGGCGTACGGTCCGCAGAGGGAAACAAACCCGACGCCAGGCTGTCCTGTGTCCCAGATGAAGTGTCTCCGCTCTCTGCGTGATTTATTTTTCCTTCATTTCCCGTCACGTTAAGTTTGTGTGGTTGCAAGAAAGTCTTCAGTGTTTGAGGCAGGGACACATGGCTGCACCTAGCGGGCTACATGAAACTTCTTTTAAGGATGGATTGCGTTACACTGGAGACAGAAACACACACACGCACACACACAGCAGGGAAATTTTAATCCGAAAAATCAACTCCAGATGTCCCAAAAAATAAACAATATGACCATGAGCAGCCTTCAATAAACAAGTAAATACATAAAGGTAGTGCATTTATATAATTGAGGTAAATTTATTTAATTGTATTCAAAATTATTAATGAAACAAAGTAATTATATTTTCTAATATTGATGGTTATGGTAAACCAACATGTGTCTCAAGAAATAAAAGCTATGTGTAAATTGTGTCAAAGAAAGCATTTTTTGATAAACTTCAAGTGGAAAGTGGATGATTGTGTATTTCTTCATGACTGAGAAAGCCCTAAAATATGGCATCGCAATACAATGAGGCAAACATAATTAAAATAGAATTTTATTTAAAAATACAGAAATGATTTTAATTCAAAAAACAGCTGTGCTCGATACAATCTTGAAAAACACAGTTGCTCAATGAAGTGCAATTCTCACATTTTGAAAAAATAAATCTGTCTTGAAAATAAAGAGTTCACTAAGTATTTACAAGCACATAACTTATTTACATCTGCACTTTTAAAACAACTAGATTCTCAAACTACAACTTTTGGTTCTGATGAAGCAAACTGTTGCATTTTTTTTCAACAATCCACTACTATTGGTTTTGTTGTACATTTCAACTGAATAAATTATTTGCAATCATTTTAAAAGAAAGAGCATCAGTCAAAGTGCCCGATGCACCCATGTACATAATTTATTGTAATTAAATAAATTTGGCATAAATGTGATAATCTCAGCATAGACCATGACAGAAAAATAGGAAATTAATATACAATTGGAGCCGTGTACATTCTTCAAATTGTAATAAAAAAAAATCACAGTTTATAAAAAGTACACATAAAAAAGTTAATTGACAGTGAATCACCAGGTACAAAGCTGGTACTCCATAAGAAATGCTTAGCACAATTTCTTTGACCGCAGTTTTTACTATCAAGGAAATTAAAGCAGTGTCCGACTTTTACTGTGAGGAATTCATACAAGCAGAGTCATGTTTGCTCCATCAATCAGAGATTAACGGCATATTAATCTCTTCCTTGGCATGGCATCCATAGAAATTCCACTTTCATACACTGCTGCATACTGTCTCTGCTCCTTCGAGGAACAATTAGATTTTCATTAACTTAAATCAAACACTCATCATTCAGATAAAAAGCAGTAAACCATAACAACTGCATCATAATAAAGCTCATCCACGGTTCAAAAATCCCAACAAGTTGGACTCTACAGTTGTGTTTATGTCGTGAAATATATCCACATTTCAGTGTCCCTCAGAAGCAAAATAACCTCTGTACTTCTCTCCAAAGGCAAACACTAGGCCCAGACCGACACTAGAGGGGGAGGTAAAAATGCACATCAAGAAGGGAAGCAAAAACTAAGGTTTTACAGCTGGAGTGAAACTTACTTTAATAGATTACCAAAGACAAACAAACCGCTCCCCGTCCCAAAAATGCGGTTTGGTCCATACTGACACGTTTTAACAGAAGTTTTTTCTTTCTTCAAACTTTCTGTTAAACAGTAACAATGTTTTCATTTTCAGCAATTTTAAATGGAAAAGTGTCCAATTTTCTTCTAACCGTACACTAGTTTGGGAACTATTTCAAAGTCTTAAAAGTTTAAAAACACATTTGCCGCATCTCTGTCAGGCTTTAAATCCCACCGAAGATTTGTGGACGACACTGAACATGACGCTCAGCAAACCAGCCTCAAAAAGAGAAAGGGTAATTGCAGAAAACATTTATATTAACTTCAAAAATTTAACTTTTCAGGAAATGGAAAAAAAAAAGTTTCTTCTTCATTATTTATAACAGGAAAACCCAAAATTAAATTATGCTTTGCACACTTTTGAACTTCCATTCTGTCTATGTGGGGAAAAACAGCTTAATAATGGTGCAAGAGGTACAAACCATTAGAAATCAGATTATGTAAAAACAGATACAGCATTGTGATGTAAATGCTACTTATAAATTAAATTTTTATTTCACAGTCATTATCTTGCATTGTTTAATTTTTTAAAGATTATTGTCGAGCACTCCCAGGTCTTGAGCTGGAACCCCCCCCCCAAAAAAAACAAACAAAAAAAAAAAAAAAAAAAAAGAAGGGTTACAATGACATAGTTTTTGTGAAATAGGTTCAGGAAATTATTAAAGGTATAAGTTCACATGGATTACCCAGGATATGGAGGAGGTGGCGCATCGTGCTGTCCACTTGCTGAGATGGCCTGCTCGTATGAGGGTAGGCCGGGAGGGTCTTCTACATCCAAAGTTGGCCCGGATGTTGGAGAGAGCGCAGGCTCTCTGGAGACATCATCCAACCTTCGCATTATTAGGGAGGCATTGCTCCTCCTAGGACGTCCTCGGGTGGAACTGTGAGGACAGGCAAATGTTTATATTAGGGCAAACTTAGTGCATCAAGAGAACAAATTAGAAACTGAGTGTCAAACTTAACAGAATATGCAGTTATGGCTGCAGATTTCACAAGAGGCATGTAGATGCAGAGTTGAAACAAACAGAATTCCCAGTTATGTGCTAGTCTAACTTTTCTCTTTGCAAGTCAAAAGTCAATAATTTTATGTTTGCAAAACGTGACTGCTTGATGTTTTTCTGCGTGACACATAGAGAAAGTACAGATGTGAAGGTATGTGTATATTAGAAGATTGTGTTAAATACGACTAAAGTCTGTTTCTTCTTGTCAGTCGCATAGAAGAAGCCTTCTTCACTTAAATTTTTCTCTCGACATCCAAGCACTTAAACGTAGATTAAATCCATTGTGGTTCTGGTATTTGGGAAAATCTTCCTTGAATCTTAATATCAGTCTGTTTTTTCCATTTCAAATATGTTTTGATGTGTTTGAGATTAATGTGTGTTTGGAACACTGGATCATGTCCAAATATGAGTCAAATGTCAAGAGAAATTGATCAGGATGTTTTTTGAAAAAACAAAACAAAAACACAAAGAAAAGGCCCCAAACTGAGCCAAATACCAATATAGTAGTGGTGGTAGCTTTATGCTGTGGAGCTGTCTTATTGCCAGCTTTACTGATGCATAAAACAGATGTAATATCTAAAGATCGGTTAGATTTCTAACTACTTGACCTTACAAAGTGTGGATGAAGCTGACTTACCTTGAACGACGGCTGAAGCCACTCTTAAAAGTGGATCTACACAAATACCAGATCAAGACACCAAGAATAACAACCACCACTCCAGCACAGATGAGTCCCACAAGAAGTCCAGTTACATCCACCCGTGACGGACTTTCCACTGTGTATTGGCAAAACCACAGAAAGTAAGATTAAATGATCTTCTACAATAGATGCAGCACAATGACGTATGTATATATATGTGACAACTGTATAACTCAAAAGCTGAACTGGACATTGTTCTAGCTTGGAAAACTCATCTAACTTGTCTTTATGTGCAACTGACAGTTATTAGCTTTTATCCCCCAGATTGAGTAACGGAGATAATTGATTAGTCATGAGAAAAACATGTGAAATTAGCTTGTGATCTGCATTGACAAAACAAATACCATGCACATCAAAATATGCAAAACATTCTGCAGGTTGAAAGGCCGCTGGTAGATTAGCGAAGTGACACTACGCTGAACAACAGGAAACATAGTTCCCAGGAAGAGAGCTGTAAGTCAAGTCTGGTAGATCTTACTGGGATCCCTTCAAAATATCCTCTAATGGTAGATGCAATGTTCAAATGTACAATCTCTAGTTCATACAATATGTCTGAAAGCATAAACACACGTAATATATATATATATATATATATATTTTTTTTTGCACAACTGGATACCCATCAGACATTAAGAGGTTAAAGCACATCAACAAAGACAAATGATCAAAACACCAGTGTAAACATATAAAAAGCTGATCGGTTATAGGAAAGATAATGCTCATCTTTTATTGGCATCATTGGTAATTATGATTATTGACATGATGTAATGATGTAAATTCACCATTTTACATCATATAATACATTCCTATCTAATTTCCTATTAAACACAAACTTCCTGTCTTAATGGAAATAATAAAAAAAATTCTAAAACTATAAAGGGATCTGAAATTTTAATCATAACTACACGGCATTACATCAAAACTCTTTATTTGTATTGCAAGACCTAAGTGAGCGACACCCACTTTTGGACTGACGTTGCAAATTAGCCTCAAACCACCACAAGCTAAGGTGGAGCATGTATTACATATACCAAGGATCATACTGGAAACATTTTGCTGACATATAGTGGTTGATATGGTCTATAGTAATTTAACTAATACACATAATCAATACCTAATTTAAGATCTACTGTATGTGCCACATTCAAATGAGCAGTCTTAACTCAAGCCAAAACAGTAATAACGTAATATCCAAAATATCATTCACATTATTTATTTCTTACCTTTGGTGTATTCTTTCCAAAAGGCATCCTAAAACAAACAAACAAAAAAACCCCACAAGCAATCAGAAATATTAACTAAAAAAGACACTTTGATAAACTGCCCCAAGTATCAACACTTAACTGTTTGTGGTATGTTTTCAAAGACTTCCCTGGCTTCCTCATAATTGCAGATTTCTTCAATGCACTCCCTCTCCAGGTTGCCAGGAACAAACATTTCAAAGTCAAAGCGATTGGCCAGCAGATGGCGCCCCAGGAACAACTTCGCTTCTGACTCACCTGTAAACACTTCAACCAGACACAAACAAGTTAGGAATATTTCAAAACAGGAACCAGGCCACAAATAAAGGTGTTAGTAGCCTAAAATATGTCTCACCTTTATCTTCTGGCACTTCGTTTAGAGACATTAAGTTCCTCGCAGAGGCCGCGTTTCCAGCGGCCAGCAGCCGGAGCAGAACGAACAAACCGAATAACATGATGAGTTCACGTACGAACAGACTGTCTGTCCTTCCGAACCACAAGGACTACTCCAAAACTCTTACAGCGAAAAATAATAATCACGATTATCAAAGTCCTTCATTATAAAGTAAAAAAAAAAAAGAAGAAGAAAGAAAACGCAGCACGAATTAATGTCCAGAGTTCAGCAGCGACAAAATGAAAGTTACCGGAGGGAGCGGTCGGTGTCCTGAGCTGTCTGTCGGTTCGTGACGCTGATGAAGGCCAAATTGGAAATTTCACTCATTGAAACTCCATTCCGTGTCTCTTTCCTGTGACGAACTTCAACTGTAGCCAAAACTGAGGTTAAAGATGAAACCGGCTCCAGAGGCTTAACAAGAAACGACCTGTGTTGCTTCCAGGCAGGTGCGATTCTCCACCTACTCCGAAACTGTAGAGCAAGGCTTGATCAGTCGATCACCTTTACCTTGACTGCATTTCACCAAGGTGGACGCTAGATGGCAGCAGAAACACACCGAACTGGGATTACTCGTGCAAGTATTGTGTTAAATACGTGGGATTAAAATGTGATCTCTGACAAAGAACCTTATGATGCCTTTAAGCTGTCGCCCCACCCAAGGGCAAATCATATTTTTGGCTTTAATCACACATTTCTGTTGTAATCTTATGTAATCGAGCCATTACATTTCTGGCATCCTATAAACTGTTGTTTTGTTTTGTTCTTTCATCTTATTCTTGAAATAAAATAAAACCTACTTTTTTTACACATTGTGTATAAAATAATACAGTTTCTCAATTTTAAAATTTAAAAGGTGCTTTGTAAGAAACTCTGCCATGAGCTTACATTGAGAAAGTCGCCTCAAGGTTGAGTTTTCACTCAAGTTATTAGAAAGCTGTTAAACCTGTTCGCCGTGGCCTCATGAAGGATCACTGCGTTTTCTAAAAAAAACAAGAAAAAAGTGTGAATTCAAATAGCATATGATTCAGCGTGAATCATGGTGAAACCTGGTGTTTACTGTAATCTGACACCAACATGGGCACCCTGCGGGTGTTTTGGACTGCTGTAGTTTGGTAGCACTTTTGAAAGTTACCAGAGGGAGCGGTCGGTATATATATATATATATATATATATATATATATATATATATATATATATATATATATATATATATATATATATATATATATATATATCTATACACATATATATATACATACACATATATATATATATACATACACACATATATATATATATACATACACATATGTATATATATATATACATACACATATGTATATATATATATATATTAGCAGGTTCAAACAAACATTTTAGAATCTTCAAATTATTTGTGTAAACCTATTTAACAAGGTTCACAGCACCATTAGTAGAAAAACAGACCCACAACTGTGGACCTAAGATCCTCCACCATGCTGACCAGAGGGCATGGTGTGCTTTTCCACATATTAATATATTTTTTTCCAAATTAGTCCCACATGCGGTTGAAAAAGCACAATCTTGTTCTCATCCAACCAAAGCATACAGTTCCAGTAAAAGTCTCAGTTCCACAAACCTATATACTTGGTTATATTTTAACATTTTACACATCTATTTAAGGACATTCCTCCCCTATGTTAAAAGAAGCACATCTTGAGTAATGGTCTCTATGTTTCTCAATGCTTAAATTTGGTTTGGTAACTTTGGAGATATTTGGGGTTTGCAGGGCTTCTGGTTTATGTTTACATATTTATGTTATCTAACTGTCTTCTGGCTGGTGCTAATTGAAGTTCAGTTGGAGTCCCACTTCGGTAGTTGTCTGCATCTCTTAAGTACTGTAAGAATGCTACATTTGCCCAAAATATTGTTTATTTATGTGGTATTGAAAAATAATGTTACTGTAACATGAGCTGCAATAAGTTTTGAATGATATTGTCTTAATACATTATAAATAATGGTGAATAATAGTAGATGGGAGAGAAATGTCTGTACTTATTGGTGTTATAATCATCTGGAATAAATCAAATCTACCAATGTTTCATTCTTAAAGAGTACAAGTTTGAATTTATTAGATTATGACCACACCAGTAAATGACAGCAGCTTTGAGCAAACAGGAGTCGGTTTACCAGAAATGTCTTTATACGTTTTAGTGTGAGAGAACAGATCATCCACCAAAACACACCTAAAACACAAGTAGGAAAAACTGCAGAAGTCATCTGAATCAAAGCTGGAAAAAAAAAAAAATCATATAGAAACAGAAACCAAATCTAAACTTGAGCTTGAGTCAAAGTAGTTTCCATCTGCCCTGCTCTCTTCCTCGCAGGTGACTGTGATGAGATTGCGCTCCAGAGAATGTGTTTTGTGATTTACACCCTGATAGTGGCTAGAGATGCTGGTCTGCTATGGGAAACTGGACACAAGTGTGCAGTGAGATTAAGCAGACCTCTGAAAAGACAGAAAAATGAACTAACAGATTATAGTAGTGACTGGCACGCCAATGGTCTAATTAATCTAAAATAAATACTTCGTTGTCTGGACTAAAATACAAAAACTGCAAATCAGTGGCATCTGAGACGTCCAAAATTGGTGTACATCAATTAAACGGAAAGTATTACTGTCAAGGAAATGAGCAAGACGGATGAGAGCTGAGGAAAGCCAGAGTGCAACCCCAATAATCCGCACTCTGTCGGTCACTGCTGATTTCATCACTGACCCGGAGGAAGAAAACCGAAACAAATCCCTTTTACACCTAATCTCTATGGCATAAATCATGAGATTAACATCATAATACGCTAGAGGCCACCTGAAAATGGATTATAGTTCTTAAGAAATTGGTATTCAATTTACAAAAATGTGAAACGGCTCCTGTATATTTTTCCCATTTCAATGACATTAAACATATTGAAGAGACATTTGCTTGAATTACCTCTTACTGACAAAACATTTATTGTATCTAGTCCAGTCTGTTTTTTATTTTATCTCCAACAGAACCGAAACTCTCAGGGCCAAACTTGGCAGCAACATGAAGAAACGGCTTAAAATAAAAGTAGCAATATCTTTCCTGATACCACTTTCCTCCCCAAAGAAGCAAACTGATCTCTATTGTTCCTTCATCCTTCCAAAGCCAGAAATACTCAGAGAGATGATCTGATCACACTGTGCAACCCTGCGGCTCCACTGTGGTGCCGCAAATTATTTCTTTGCGGCTTTTGTCAAGTGGCTCACTTCTGAATTAAAGTGCTGCATAGAACAACGTCTATGGTTGAGGTTGAAGTAAAGCCAATCCAACTTTTCTGACCAGATCACTGTTAGAAAGAAATTAGGTTTACTACAGTGACAGAAAACACAGAACCAACGTGCTGCTGGTTTTGTGTGATTGAATCATTAACTGATAGCAGTATGTAGTCAAACCAGCGAGGTCAGACATTTTGTTAAAACCATGTGACCCCGATTTAGAGGTGAAGGCAAACACTTTCTATACTATACAGTCGAGTTCTTAGTTTGTGAAATGACTTCCATATATTTCATTCAACACTGTTAAAGACAAGTCAGGCATGATGTTTCTCATACTGGATCAGTTTGAAATATTTGAAGAGGTCATGTTGCCTTACGCTGAGAAGGAAATACCTTCGAGTGTTTATTAAGTCTCCTAAGGTTGTGATTCACATGGCGGATCAGCCCAGCCCAGCCCCTCCGGACCTTAATCCAATAGAACGTTAGTGACATCAAGACATCAAGAGTACGGTTTCTGGCTAAACTAATAAATGGAGAGGAATTATACAATGTTTTCCAATAGTTCTGGGCAGGAATACATGTTCACAGGGGAAAGAACTTGGATGACTCGACACAAACGCAAATGTGATGCTGTTCGTCAGAAAGAAACGTATTAATAATATAATGACTCACAGGAAGATTAAATCTGGAAGCATGTTTCAGGTTTACAGAAAATGCTTCAAGTTTGTAGAGAAATGAAGATTAGTGTCCTAATCAAAACACACATCTTTGTGTTTTGATTTCAACAACAATATTCAAGATAACGCATGATTCAAGTATAAACTTCACTCTGTATTTTTAAGTACATTTTTTTTTATTTTGAATGGAGCCGTTTTTCCAATCCTCTAGAATTAGAGCAGCAGTTTATTATCTATTTGTCTGAAACCTGTATTGCTATATTCCTCAGAAACTATAAAGCGCTGAAGTATATGAGCAATGTCAATGATTCAATCGTTTCTAGAAATTGAATAAAAAAATAAATATATCACAGCTGTCTGGCAAAAACTTGTGTATTTCCAGAACAGAACTTTCCATGAAATAAAAATATACTTTTTAATAGACATTAAAAAGTATCACCTGGATAATAATTTATACTGTTTGGTCAAAGTCACAGTGACTTTGATACTTTTATTTTTAATGTCAATTCATCAGTAACTATTGATCACAGACAGTTGAAGTGTGATGAATAGAAGATTTTCAAAACAAAATAAAACCCCCAAAAAATGGAAACAAAAGGTTTAGCCCAACAGTGACAACTGAACCATCTATATTTTAGGAATATAACTCATGGCATGTCTTTAAAATGCTGTCCCAGACTTTAAAGTTTCTTGCAGAATTAGTGTTTTTGCCACAAATCATTAGTAACTTAATCCTTCTTTTCTGCTTCAAAAAAAAAAAAAAAAAAAAAAATCCCAAAACATGTGAAGTTGTTCATTTCAGTTTTAGGGGGATTGCAGACAGTGAATCATGCTGACCACAGCTGAGCAGACTGTATCAACCCAGCTGAACGTTTCAAGGTTGCAACAGCAGGGAAGGAGCCTTCAGAACAATGCAGCTTTGACCGTAACATGGAGGGTCATCCGAAGTTCACATAAAAATTGTTATATCTGTACAGCTGACTAACTGACCCTCATGCTGAAGGTCATTTCTCACCCCCAGTCACAGCTCATCTACTACACTGGTAAGCTGTCTTGTAACTGGAAGCAGATGTTAAGAGCTGCTAGCGGAGAAGTTCCAATTGGGGACCCTGAATGTTTTTGTTAAAAGGATGAACACTATATTATTATCCATTGAATTAAGAAATAAAGTAAATATCAACACAAAAGCCCTCATTGGTCACCTTCACGTTTTTATTTGATGCAATATAAAAACAGATCTTTTCGGACAGAGATTCGGTGAAGCAGTGAAGATCTGAGAGTCGGGTCCATGTTGGAGTTATGCGGAGGGGGACAAGGTCTGCAGACTGGTCTTGACGGTTGCTAGGTTAGCCTTCCAGGAGCTCAGGGTGTCGTACAGCTGCTGCCACTGCTGCTTGCCAAAGGTGCGGTGTGTGCTGTGGCTGAGAGAATGGAGACAGGAAAGCAAGGCCAAGGTCACACACTTCATGGCAAAGGCAGGTTCAGCTATGAAAAACATGCAAGACCATTTCTGTACACAGACCT